GTCATGTTCGAGGAGCACCACTTGCGTCGATGTCAAGGTACCGCAGCGAACAGCCAGGCGCAGAACAACCAGGGGAGGATGCAGAAAGAAGCTCGCTTAGCCATGCTTCGACGTCAGGCTGGCCGTGCAACACCACTAGCGGAGTCGCGAGAGGGCACCTGGCTTCGGAACCTTCCAGACCCTTTCTCGTGCATTCTTGAGCGCTACTGCAGCTGCGGACCCACTCACCCCGCATACAGGAACAGAATCCAGGGAGTAGAGTGTGTTCGTCTTGGCCAGCATTGCTTACATCCCCCCTCTCGTGTGTCCAACTGTCACAGTGTGCCCAGCGCTGATAAATGAAAACTTATCTTTGGGCTAGAGCTCTAGTAAATAGGCCTATCTGCCTGGCGGTCGGTTTGTTTCGCAAGATGAATGGCATAATCACCACTGCTCCAGGCCGCCTGATGGGAGTGACCAGTATGAATCGAGGTGAGGTCGGGACTTCTCAGTTACGCTGAGGGACGCAAGAGAAGTTGCAGGCGAAGTCACTTGCGCGAGATGCGCATCAGGACCAAAGTGATCCGACGTGGTATGGCTGCAGTGTGCCAAGTAGACTACATAGGAGGGAATAGTACTGCTTTCTGTACGTTACTGCAACTGTGAAGTACTAGATAGCACCTGCCTGGATTTCAGTATTACATGCAGTGTACCGTATCAGACACCTCGCTTCACAAGAATCTAGCCCAGTTTTAGTACAGCTGATTCGGTCAGGTTGGTCGCTGGTTCATCACGCTGAAGTCAAGTCCACGATTAACCAAAGTTTGGAGACCATTACTTGGACAGGTAGACGGTTCGCTGCCCCACAGAATATCTCATTTTTCGGCTTAAAATTGCTTGATAACATGATAATAGACCAAGGACCGGCTAGCTTTATCATCTCCGCCCCTCCATTTGTGATTTCCATCAGCTCATATCGTCCCACCATCGCTGTATAGAGGTGAGGTGCCTCTCTAGCACACCATCATCTGTTTCCCTTTCCCACAATTCTGCCCTTCACCGTCTGCTCATATAATGCTTACCTTAGAACCACCAGGGGCCTTATTTAAGGCATCAATCCTTCATTCTGCTTCTTTCTTTAGTCACCTAGCCTCCTATCATCAGTATATGAGACCTCTATCCACAAATGGCAAGCGCTGGCTTTGCTCTCAAGTAAGGCTATGGCACAAAAGCCCTTTCTGCTGAAGGGGTGAAGGCGGCCTCTTTGTCGTAATGTATCACGCACTTGCTCGAAAACATGTGATGCGGGTTCGAGACTCGCCTGAAGTCAGGTATTTTGTCCATAACACTGCATTTCTATGATAATCATTTCAGAGTGTCGGCAAAGTAACTCGTCACAAGTACAAGAGCAGAGGAAAAATGAGACGAGATCGCCCATCAAGTCGGGGTTTTCTTTCGATTTTATGCTAATTTTGTTTTGAATTGGACAGTTCTGATCAAGCCCGACATTTTTCAAACTGAGACACCTTTCAAACCAACTCAAACCGAATTGGACTTTCTATACCAGAACGGACACAATTGCTAAGTAGGACAATAGACAAGTGGGACCTAGTGTCGTTCTTTCATGGCAACTGATGAGGACGACTCCTAACCATCATACAGTCCCCATTCGCGCGCTCTTCATCCCTTGCGCCCCCTCCCTTTATGTAAAAAGGAGAAGCGCTCCAATAAGAAAAATAACTCGTCATGAGTACAAGAGTAAATGGAAAACGATAATACGTGGTCGGCATATTACCGAGTGAGACCGCTACGCCATACAACGATCGCAAAAGGATAGGACGATAGAAGCAGAGGGCGTTTTCCATGGGTAGAGCCTGCCCTAGGCAGCGGGGCATGGCGTCTTTACTAGTCATTTCTGATCCACAGATGCGGTACATTCTCTAGGATCGCTCACGAGAAACCTCTCAGGAGTAGGTTCTGCACAAACCCACAACCGCGGAATGCCTTCGAGGGTGTGGATTATACTGCAAAGTCCTAGTAGTCCAGCCCCCGATTTCAGCTCCTGAGTCACATACGCCTAAATCAAGCAGACAACGGAAGTCAAGGATTCAGTCGATCATCCAGGGTACAGAGAGAAGCGTTAGGCAGTGAGTGTTGCGCAAATCAAGTTTAATAGTGTATACAAAATGAGATAGCTCGCTACAGGTTACCAAAGGGACCAAGTGAATTTAGGCAATATGATATCAGTGAGGCGTTCATTTACGTTTCGGAAGTGGATTTGCAAAAATCTGAGGTGTGGAGTTTCTTACCGCCAATAGTGGACAAGGAGGTGAAATCTGCACGAAGAGAACAGGTACCATCAATATGAGGAGAGTTGGACCTTGCGTCTGCATTGTGGCTGCGCTTACAAATTAGCTACTACCTTCGCGGCGGAAGCGGCGCGCCAAACCCAGCCTCACTGACACGCCCCTTTATTCGCAGCGAACGAAACTGTGCTTCCTAGCCAGCTGACTCAACGCAGCTTATCTCGTGCACGTTATCAACTTGGTTTTGGTGTGACTGAAGTGCAAGTGGCGCCGCTTGCAAGACACCTTCGTTGCAAGATAAGTATCACCACCCAGACCTCCAATGCAGGCGATGCCCACTACAGGATAGGCCCCCTGAGTCAGAAATCCATTGAAATTTCGAGTCAGTCCACGGCTCCTGTTGATCTATTCATCTTGTGGAGGCGCCCCGCTCGTTCTCCGAATAGAAATCGCGATCGCAGTTGAGTTGGATTTGCCTAGCGTCGGCTTGCGTGCAAGAAACTTAGTCTTTTATTCTTTCAAACGAGTACGATACCAGATAAGAAACCCCAGAGCGAGGGTTGTCAGGTTGTCAGCCTAGACAAGAATGCGTCTGAGATCTGAGCTCTCAAAGGTAGTGGGCACGATGGCACTGGTGGACTTGGGGGGGGATGGGCATAGGAAAACGCTGTCGCGCAACCCTTCCAACAATGACGCTGGCAAAAACCGCCCGCACCCAGCAATCATACCCACTGCCTTCAAATACCCCTGATAAGCGGCGCCACTTGCCGTTACATCTTTTCCGCCTTTTATAGCCATTATTACGTAGTAATTCCAGATAAGGACCTTTGTCAAAAATACCTTAACAAAGGGACCAAAAGGACTTGTTGCGGAGTTCCGGCAAATTCCCAAATATGAGGATTTATCAAAAATGACTGAATTTGTGGAACAGCTTGCTTATGGTAGGAACCGTTATAGGGTAAGTATCTTTCAAGTCTTTTCTCTTACAATCTGAAAGGACACTTCAACAAGTGGAACAATTTCGAATGAGATAACTTGCTTCCTGAATTATCGGAAACTGCCCTTACAAGAATATGGATCTGATCAGAGATCAGCGGAATCGATCTGGACACGTCAAAAGCGAATGCTTGTGGAGTGTCTATGGAGAAAAACGCTTACAAACGATAACACTAA